AGTCCCAGGTGTGCTATTATTCCTAGCCTGTTTATTTGTTAGAAGGGAGCCGATGGCTGGGCCGGTGCCCATTCAGGGAAGGGACTTAGCGCCACCTTGTGAAGGTCGTGTGTTTCTTGTAGGTCACCAGATGGACCTTTTTGGCTTGGTTTGGTTTGGTTTTAGTGTGAAAAAACAATCCCTCGAATGGTAGTTTATTTCCCAGCTGTGTTAATATAAACCACAGTAACACTGAGCATAATGGATCCGAATTACAAATTTATTTTTTCCATGAGTTGTCACCAAAATGTGTGTCATGCTAAAGCCCCATGATTAATGGGATTTTTAACTGAGTGTTGTTCTGGAGCTTTTCCTTGGAAGGCCGTGTCGCCAGAGCCTTACCTTTGAATACTCCTTGTTGCTGCTGTGACAGATTTATGTCTTTAGCCCCAGGTGTTTCTTTTAATTTTGGAACCAAATGCCTGTTAGCATTCCCTTTGGGTAATCGCAGATCCCCCAATTTGAGCCCTCTGTCTCTCCTCTTCCACCTTTTGAAAACCCACGTTTTTCCATTTTAGTGATCGCTCATTTCCAGAGCTGTGGGGTTCTTCTTTGACCTTCTCACTCTCCCTGACCCCCACATCTAACCTATTGTGCAGTGACATTAAGTCTGTTTGATGTTTATGGATCCCTCCCCCAGTGTTGCTTTTAAAATTTCTGCAGCTTTCTTCTCTCTCTGTGTGTGTCTCTCTCTCTGTCTCTCTGTCTCTCTCTCTCTTGTACCAGAGATCATGCTTGTGACCTTACTTGCCAGGCAGGCGCAGTGCCGCTGAGCTGCGTCCCCGCCATGCACAGCTTTCTCCTCGCTGGTCTGTTTGCTTGGCTCTTCTGCATGGTCCGACCCACAGCTTGGGAACCCGATAGTTGCCTCCCATCCCACTTAGGACACACAGCCTTTTGGGGGTTCATTCTTGTCTCTCTTGTCACTTTAGCCTCTCTCCCACCACACTATGTTAGGACACGAAGGGAAGGAATCAAGGACAGGTTTATTTCAGAACAGACCTGAGAGGGACCGTGTAGCACTGGAGACCAAACCGGCTACTCTCGTACAGCTCCAGGGTCTCCAGCGTGACCAGGGGAGCGGTGGAGGGAAGCAGTCACGGGGACTGCGGAGGGGAGAGCCAGTGCGGTGGGCTTGTGGAGCTGCATGCTGTGTGTGGGGAGCAGGGCTGAACAATGATGAGGAATTAGGGGGTGTGGAGGCGGTGGACTGGTGAGGGTGACCTGCAGCAGGAAGGACAGGGTAGCGGAGAGGCCATTTGGCTACAGGGTCTCTGCTCAGACCAGGCTGCCGGTGGCTGGTCCTTCACGCGGACCCCTTTCTCATCAATTAGAGCATCACTGCTCTCTGCCTTGGTCTTAGCAGCTTTTTTTTAAAGCCAGAACTCAAACTTACAACCTCACGCTTGCCTGGCAGGCGCTGTGCCACTGAGCTGTGTCCCTGGCCATTTCAGAATAGCATTCTTGCTTTGCTTTTTTCTGTCTCAGTCTTTGCACAGGCTGTTTTCTGTGCCTGGAACTCCCCACCTCACCCCACCCCACCCCATTTTTTACTTGGCTGACTTAAATGTCACTTCTTACTGGGGACTCAGCGAGGAGCGCCAGCTGTCTGTGTTAAGGGTACAGCGAGAAAATGAAAAACTTGTCTGGTTAGTAATGCATGAATGGCTGGGAAGGCAGTATCTCTTGAAGGGTTCACCGATGCCCTAAAACAGCCCTGTTTATTAGGGGTATACAGTGTATACAGTGATAGATGGAGCTGGCGAAAGATTCTAATTCAGAAGACTCAGAGAGCATAGGGCACAGAAGAGCTTGTGCTCAGGAGCCTCGGTGGGAAGCCTCAGGTGGTGGTGGCTAATCCTGAGCCTCCAGCCCCTCATCCCGGTGGGGTGGGAAGCATTCAGAATTAGCCATTGTGAATTTGTGGCCCCAGCAGAGCTCCATGAGAGAGGGCAGCCCCTCCAGGGCCTTGCACTTTTCTGTCTTTGCTCTTCCCACAAGTCACGTTTTGTGTGTATCTTCTTGTTCCTTGTCAGGGTCTCTTAATTGTCTCATTTAATGCCTGTGAGTTCCATGAAGACTGGGTATGTTCTGTTTTCATCACAGCATTCTTGTTATCCACTACAAAATCATTCATAAAGTAAGCAGCTAATGAGTAGGGCATAAAGGTACGTCCGGCGCGAGAGCACTGTTCACACGGGACCTGAGCACTGGACAAGGCCCCCATCGCTCAGTCACCCGCTCCTTTGCACATCCTCCATAGAGACGCTTGTGGACTTTGTTTCTTTTCATCCTGGAGACCTGGGTCTTTCAGGTGTGTCCCCTGGGAGTGGTTCTGGTGTCCTCCCCACATGGTCATTTTTCTCTTCCAGGCCTCATCAGCGGAAAACCCTGATCACGGTGCATGTTGCTGTGTGGGCTGGGGAGGCCCGTGCCTGTGTTGGGCAGCCGTACGTGGGGATCCACGGTGTCTGTCCAGGTGCTGTCCTTGCACCAGGCTGGCAGGTGTGTGACACAGTTTGGGAAGAGGGACCTTGTACCGAGGACACGCTGCATCCCACACACTCCTAAAGCTGTGTCATTGCGTGGTGTATTGTATCACATGTGTCAGATGGCATTAGGACAGTGTAGGTCAGCTGTTCCGTCTGGAATCGGACCTCTTTTGAATTATAATGCTGTTACCAGCGATGTGGTCTTTGATAAGTTCCTTAAAGTCTACGTGGCTGTTTGCTCATCTGTAAAATCAAAGTGTGCCTTTCTTATAAGGTGGTTGTGATCATTTGGAAAGTTAATATCAGCAAAGTTGATATTAGTTTATTGTGGATTTGGCACACAGAGTCGGATATCTAACCTAGTTCTCTAACTGTGGGCTAACACATTGTGGCTGTGAAGATGGGCAGAGGCTGGTACTTACTTGAGGCAGGCCCAGCACTTGCACTTCTATCAGGAAGGACCCCACAGAACTCTTTTATGTGGAGGGACCGTGGGGATGGGATGCACTTAGGGCTTCTTGGCCTGCTCTGTAGGATGCCTTGGGAACTCGAGGAGAGCCAAACCGAGGCATTAACTGTAACTAAATGGAAGAAGGAACGAGGGTACCAAAAGACAGTGAGCAGGTGGAATTCCTGCTCCCACCCCCAGACCGTGGGCTGCTTCAAGCAGAAATTGCTTGCCGCCATGGGTGGTAAGGGGCCGAGCGACTGTGTGGAGGGGAGCAGCGCGAGCCAAGGGAGGCCGGGCAAGGAGCTGCCCTGCACGGGTGGCGTGGCAGGTGCAGGAGGAACAGGCCTAGAGCAGGACGAGGCTGGGCTTGGTCAGGTGGAGGGTGTGCCTGGAGGAGCTGTGCAGCGGGAAGCAGAAGCGGGAGAGGTTGGGGCTGGAAACACTGGAAACAAACTCCAGACCTGGAGCAGGCATCCTTAGAATCTCAAGTGATTCACTGCAAGAGGCGAGGTTTCCACAGGCATGCGGCAGAGTCAGACTGCAGACGTCACTCTGGGATCACTGTAGGCTTCGCCTCTCGCCCTCTCGGCACTGTGTGGCCATGGGAAGACACTAGCTTCTCTTTTAGTAGGGAAGGAGGTAGTGGGCGAGATTTTGGAACCAAGTCTTATGCACCAAAAACACTTCTAAATGACATCTGTAAGCATCGTCAGAGAGCCAATGAAGTGACAGGCGCGTGGGTAGGAAGCTCGGGTTTATTGTAGGCACCACACTGGAGGCTGTTGTGTCACACAGAAGCAAAACCTCTTCTGCTCAGGACTCGTTCATGGAGAGAGCGCTAAAGCCGGCTGCTTGGAAAACAGTTACACTCACCTTGTGTCAGCCTGCCTTCTTTTCCTGTTACCTCGTTAGGTGTTTCACTCTGAGGCCTTTAGGAGTTCACTGTCCGTGCTAGTAATAGCTAAACTTTAACTGGAGACCTCTGTGTCACGTCTCCCAGATTAAATAAAGCTCAGAGTTTTTGGAAGCTAATCTCACTTAAAAATGTTTCTCTTTATCTTCTTGATAATGGCGTATGCTACTTATTTAAATATGTATGTTTTCTAGATCACTTTCTATCCATGGGAAAATTGTCTGAAGTATTCAGGGTATTTCTGTTATGTCCACTGGGATTTGAATGAACATTGCTGAATAACTTTTTTATGGTGGTATTAGAAATCACATGGGGTGCATTCCCAGTGAGCTGTAACCCCCAGATTAATCAGTCCTGTGGCCGTTTACCTGTGCTGTAGACAGGGTCTTGCCAAGTTGCCTAGGGTAGGCCCAGACCTGGAATCTGCATCCTCATGCTGGGGTTACAGGTATCTCACCACCTCTAGCTAGTAACTTACAGTTTAAATTCAGCCTTTTCTATGTTGTTGTAACGATATTAAGGGACATTCTTGATAGTAATAAAATAGTCTACTTATTTTAGAGCAGACAGAAAAAAAAGCTTCTGGAGGTCTTCCCTTTCCTCCCTCTCCTCCCCTGACTTTCCCTCCCCTGTTTTTTTTTTTTGTGTGTGTGTCCATCTCTGTCTGTCTGTCTGTCTGTCTGTCTGTCTGTCTGTCTGTCTTTCTGTCTATCTGCCTGTCTGTCTGTATTTGGAGTGAGTATATTGCTGTGTGCCCAGGCTGGCATTGAACTCCTGTACTCAGGCAATCCTCCTGCCTCAGCCTAAGTAGCTGGGATCCTGGTACATGATGACACTGCACTGGCCTATCGAGATTAAGTGTATTATTCTTGTTTTATGTGTGGCTCAGCTGATCTGAGATCAGGAAAGGTTGTAACCTGTTATTAAATGATTTAAGTGTTGAAATTACAGAGCTTTGATTGCTTTTAACAAAAATAACTTTGATTTTAAAAGTATATTTCATTGTTTAAAGGTATGTTTGGGCATTTGTTTTCCTCTTTCAGTCCTTGAAGACTTTCCCAAATCCAGTTATGTTCATTGCCTTGTTAATATTTTCATCTTGCAGGAGTCAAGAGAATTCAGAGGGAGGTGGAGTCATTGTCAAGTGATTGTGGCCTCACAAGAAAACCTCCCGGAGTGAAGTCACTTGAACGTGTGGAGTAGCACTTATCAAGGCCACGGTGTATGGGACATCAAAGTCGAACGATGACTCAGCTCTGCGTTTACATCAGGTTACTGGGAGCCTATCTGTTCGTCGTCTGCCATGTCCAAGGTGAGTCCCACTCGTGTTGGTGAGGCTCTGTGTAGGGAGCACCCACTTGCCCGGCCGTTCTTTCAGTGGCACAGCGTCCTGGTCAGCTCCTAGGTAAAGAGGCAAAGCACGAACACGTGGATTTTGAACTTGATTATAATAGAACATTTTCAAGTATTTTACAAATGTCAGCCTCTCTGAACCTGTTTTCCCTGCTGTCACATGGGCCTTATGGTATACAGCATTAGGGCTCGTGAGGATTCTCCGAGATAAACTACTGTATGCAAAGCATATAGCCGGGTATGGTGTCACATGCATGTGATGCACTTGGGACACTGAGGCAGGAGGATCACCAAGAGTTTGAGGCCAGCTTGGGCTACAGAAGCAAATTTAAGGACAGTCTGAACTATGCAGCAAGACCCTGTCACCATAGATAGATAGATAGATAGATAGCACAATAAGAAATAAGTGTAAATATTAGTTCATTATTCTGAAAATATTCTGGAAACATGGTGCTTGCCTGTGCAAAATACTGAGGTTGATTCATACTGAAAGTTTATTTATGACCAGCGTGGCGATTTTACTACTGTGTGTCAAGAGTCAGATCTCGAGAAAGGAGGTGATTATGGTGCCTCTGCAGATCAGGTGGACGGTGTTGCACTTTGGTTTTCCTGAAGGGTGTAGTCAGCGTGATACTTTAGACTGGAGCGGGCACTGCCTGCAGAAAGGTTTGAGACAGAGTTTCATCTTGCATATTATGTGATTGTCGTAGGTTTCTGGCTTCACACTTTGCCCTTTGTAACATACGGTTCACAGCCTTGTGTATTAACATCTCCCCTCAGGAAGGAACGTGCCGAACAGCAGGAGCTTTTTGTATTTTCATTTTCAAGTGTGAGCACAGAAGGAAATTGTAGGTTCTTAGTATTTTGCCTTAGGTAGCTTTATTATTATTATTATTTTTTTTTTTTTTAATTTTATTTAAGGAGAAAAGAAAAAAAAAGCAGGGAAAGGGTACAAGTTATACAGATTTACAGAAAAAAAATGAACAGTAGGAAATCACTAGTTAATGGATTACATATTGTCATCTTAGAAATAATTGTTCAAGTCACAAAATTAAAGCTTGTAAAGTGGACATTCCATCAATGATACTGCAAACAGTTCTGTTCATTGATCCAATAAAACTCTGTGATATCATTTTCTATCTTATACACTTAAATATACATGCAGTTATATAGTTTAGAGTACTTTCTTTTCCTCTCTTTTGTACCATAACTATTACACATTTTGGGTTTCATTGCTCCCACGGTTCTTATTACTTTTTTGGAAGAGAGTAAAACCAAATGTGACATAACAGAACAGAATCGGTCAAGTCAAAAGGGTGGACATAATAGATAATGTAAAAACATAATACAGGTGATCAACAATGGTTACCATAATGTCTCCCGCTATCTCTAATAGAATTGCCTATATCATTAGTTATAATACAATTGAACAAAACAGTAAAGAATAAAACCGACAAAACCAAAACATTGGAGACATTGTAGGTCTTCAAAAGTAGCTAAAAGTCAACAAGAATGGGCGTCATAATGAATCTCATTATCTTCACAGCTGATGCCTAAACTTTCGAACCTGATACTATCCAGCAAAACAGAATAGGGGAACATCAGTTAAAAACCAGATGGTGAGAGTAATACAGGGCTTTAAATCAAGGTAATGAAAAGTCAAAATGGGTTACTATAATATATCCTGCTATTTTTTTCCTTTAATTAAAAGGATAAAGATAAAAAAGTAAATAATGGAGTGGAGATTGAGATAAAAGAGGGCATAACAACGAAACAGCGCAGATCAAAACATAACCATTTAAGCAGAATAGTGTTTCACCACCAGATAATCCTAACCTAAAAGTAGTTACCATATTGTTTCTTTCTTTGAAATCCTTGAGTACAACTTCGTATACTGTAGCATTAAGTATATCAAAACAATGTAAAACCATTCAAGAGAATGACAGCATTACAGAGTATTTAGAATCGACTAACAGAAAATGAACAATGGTTTCTGTATAATCTCCTTGTCTTTAAAAGGTTTTTGCTTATACTATCGTACATAATAAAATCCAATAAGATACAGCCTATTTAGACCATTGGAGACAGAAGGACAAAAGCTAGATGAGACTTCAAAACAAGATGATACTAAATCAGTATTACCTATTAAGATGTCATTTTCTCCAAAATAGCTGTTCCTATCATCCAATCTTCTCTGCCTCATTTCTGTTAAGCTCTTTTTCTGTCAGTAGCTGTCAGTTTGTCTTCTTCATTTTGTTCTCTGCTCCATTTGTTGTGGCCTCCCCGCCACTATTTCTGGGTTCTTTGTATTTTTCTTTTTTTAGAATATCCTGCAATACTTTCTGTAGAGTTGAATTGGTGGTTGCAAATTCCCCCAGTTCCTCTTTATCCTGGAAGCACCTTGTTTTTCCATCAATTTCCAGGGACAGTTGTGCAGGATATCTCAATCTTGGCTGGAGATTATTATCTTTCAAAGCTTGAATTATTTCCCCCCACGCTCTTCGTGATTTGATGGTTTGTGCAGAGAAATCTGCTGTAATTCTGATGGGTGTTCCCTTGTAAGTGGTCTGTTTCTTGTCTCTTACAGCTTTTAATATTCTGTTCTTGTATTGAATTTCTGGAATTTTTATTATTATATGCCTGGGTGTTGCTCTGTTTGGGTTGTAGGTAGCTGGGGTCCTGTATGCCTCATACATCTGAGTATCTTTACCTTTTGCTAAATTAGGAAAATTCTCCTGGATTATTTCTGTGAGTAGCTTTTGTAGTTCACTTGTTTGCATCCCTACTTCTTCTTTTATGTTCTTAATCCTTAAGTTATGGATCCTCTTATCATCTTCTTGTCTTTGTATTATTGCTGTTTGTTTCTTTGTTATTTTTAAGAAGTTTTTCATTTCATTCTCCCATATTACAAGTCTGCCCTCCAGTTCAGATAGTCTGTCCTTAGTTTCTTTCAAGCTGTTATGCCAGTCTTCGATAGACTTCTTAGTATCTTGGTAGTCCCTTTGAACCTGCTTCATGTATTCTATGCTTTCTCTGTTTTCTCCATCAAACAATTCTCCCCTTTTTTTCTGTTCTTCCATTCCACCACCTGTTTTTTCTTGGGTGGTACTTAGCATTTCTCTAACTATTCTGCATACTTCTAGTTTCAGGTCGTTGATAACTTCATTCCTGAATTGGTCTATGAGGCTCTCTATATGGTGCCTTATGTATATTGGTGCGGTGTCTGCTATTGCCTGTTTCTCAGAATTGGGGGCCGAGGGGCCTTTCTTGTTGCTGCCTCTTCCCATGCTGCCTCTTCTTCTCTGTTCCTTATATATGCAAGCTTATATAAGAGGCCCAGCTTCTCTCCCAGTCAGCCACAGCCTGATCGAATTGCGCCAGTTAGGTGTTCCCGCTCACCGCTGCGCACCAGGGAGTTACGGACCAGGCAGCCTACGCGTCTCCCCTCCCGGCCACCGTCAGGCTCTGGGATCTGGGTTGGGACAGTCTACCAGGTCCGCCGGCAGCGTCACGCAGGCCAGGCACTTTTCACCAATCCCGCCCGAGAGGGGGATGTGTGGCTGGAGTCGCCACCGCGCCCTGCTCCCGCAGGACTGCTCGGGCCCAGAAAGTCCTCTGCTGGAGTCAAACTGTGGTACAGTGTCAGTTTCTCTCACTCACCTCACCACAAGTCAGTGCACGCCTCCCTGCCGTTCGCAGATTGCCGTTCTCAAGCTTCCGCGCGTCTCTCTCCTTGCCGAGCCGCTGTAGAGGCAGCCAGCCGCTGTGCGGCGGGAAACCCAAATCGCGGCTTACAATGGCGCGGTTCCAGCCTCCACACCGAGTCTTTTCTGTTCCTGTTTTAGCACCAGGACTGCATTCCAAGTTGGCTTCTCTCAGCCCAGTTCGTTCCTGAGTCAGCAGAGCATATCTCCACCTGCTTATGTCTCCTTAGTCCGCACCATTCCTGGCTTCTGAGCCGAGTCTTTCAGAGAGCCGCCGGTAGTTGCTGTTATCTGTCCGCCATGTTCTCCCGGAAGAGGTAGCTTTATTATTACCATGCTTGGAAAAAGAGCCTTCTTGCAAATGCAACTTTTACCTGTGAAACATCAGATTATGTAACACAGCACCTTAAATGCTTTCTGTGCCCTGGTCAGCCGTAACCAAAGCTGTCGTAGTTGTGAAGGTGAGCACTTAAATTAATGGCATCATTTATGTTTACTATCTCACACCCAAAGTAATTTTTTCCCAAACCCACTTAATTCAAACACAGAAAAGAAGAAGAAAAACTAAAGCAGAAATTCAAAACACGTTGACCAGGGGGTAACAGTGGTTACATACATTGCACATTGTCACCTACAAGTCATTCACCCAGAACACAAGCCGTCTTTCTTCAGTTGTCCGAACAGCACCAGTACAAATCTTTTTCTTTAGTGAACTCAGAAGTCAGTTGTATAACTATCTTAACTATTTTTTATATACATAGACATAGACATATATATATACGTTTTTTCTTTCAGCTTGTCACACTAATGAAACAATACGATGTTTACACATGTATCTTATTTATTTCACTAATGAGTAGATTCTCAAGTTGCATCCATTTACCTATGAAAGTTTCTGATTTATCATTCTTTATAGCTGAGTAGTACTCCATTGTATAAAAATATCACGTCTTTTTTATCCATTCCTCAGTTGATGGGCATTTAGGTTGTTTCCAAGATCTGGCGTTTATAAATTGTGCAGCTATAAACATGGGTTTACATATATCACTGTGGTCTGATGTTTTTAATTCTTTTGGGAAGATACCCAGAAGGAGAGTAGTTGGGTTGGATGTGACCTCTAGTCTTAGTTTTTTGAGGCGTCTCCACGCTGATCTCCACAGTGGTTGCCGCAGTCTACACTCCCACCAACAGTGGAGAAGAGTTCTTTTTCCCCAAAGTCCCTCCAGCGTTTGTTATTGGTTGATTTCTTGATAAT